ATATTGCTGAATTTATAATTGAAAGAATGAGGATTTTGAAAATAATTTATTTAGTGGAGAGGGAAGGAAGTAGGGATACGTTAAGGAGGAGGAAAGAGATGTGGTTGAGTAGAAAGGAGTATAAATGAAAGACAACCACAGGAGTGTTGCACATAAAAGGTAGAATTGTGAAAATTGAAGTGCGGGGATGGATGTAAGTAGCGGCAACGGTATCCATGAAGTGTGTGGTGGTGTAGAAGACGTACAATATTGGAACGTTGTTGAACATGTGGAGGTTTTGGACGAGGTACATCGTAATGTCGTGTTACATAGAGGAGACTACGTGGATAGACAGCAGTACAGTGAAAGTAAAGCAGTGAGGTATGTAAGTGACATCAGTCGGATGAAAGAGTGGAGCGTAGCCCGTAAACTGTTTGAGTGCAAAATGAACTATAAAGCATGTTCTGCTTACGTCTTGTACTGCGATAGGAGTAATCTTCGTTATCTACCTATGTGTGGGAGTTGTCGGTATGGAACGAACAATGGTAGTATAATATCGTTGTATACGCGAGTACCGAATTTGTGGATGTTAGAAGTTCACCTCCACGACGAAGTCCACATTCATTGCGGATGGTGCGGAGAGATTTGCAGTTGCGAATTTGTTTGCACCCATAACCATCATTTAAGGAGGGATAGTGTATTTGAAGAAGGTTATGTGAGGGAAATTTGTAATAATATCGTAAATGTTGATGGAGCGTAAACATGTATATTGTACAATTTGTTCTGAAATAAATGATGATGTAATGTGGAAGTAGATTTAATAAAAACAACATGTAGGTAACAGTGGTATATATTTGAAGAAGTGTGTCAAGGTCAAACTTGTGGGAAAGGAAAGTTTGGCAGGGTGGGGAAGGAAAGGAAAAGGTAATTAGGAAAAAAGTTAGTGCAAGGATGGTGTCATCATAATGGACCGAAAGAGATGACGCCTTTGTTCAGCTGAAGTGCAGAGTAGGCAGGAAAGTGTATGGGTATCATCGATCTCATAAAGAAGACCCGACTTTTCGCAGAGGTATGAGTGAACCCCCTGACGACAAGGTCGACAGCAGGAGTTCACAACATCGACGTTATACATTCTACAGCTGTAACAAAAAAGTCGAGGTGTGTTATCAAGACATTCTTGACAACAGAACCCTGTTGCAACGTTACAGCTTTGACGAAGACGTTGACAAATGTTGCATTGCAACCGGGTGATAGGTACAATTGAATTGGTTGTTTGTCGGAATGGTGAAAGGACAATGGATACACGAGAAAGATCCATTGTAAACCGCAAGACCCTTCTCATGAAGTGATGCTCTACGAAAGTTTCAATGGTTTATATAGGAAGAAAGGTGGTGGGGAGAATAGTGGGGATGATGAAGTATTATTATAAGGGAAGGAGTATAGTGTAGTGGGGGATTAGGAAGGTAGGATGGTGACATAAGTGTGTAATGTTGGAACTGTAATAATTGTTCATTGGTGAAAAAGTGGAATAATAGAAGAAGCGTAAAGAAGATAAAATTTGTTATTTATAATGTACTACCCGTTTATGATTTCAATGGAGAGGTGTCGCAGAAGAAAAGTTATGATAGTAAATTTGGTGGAAGTCGATGTGTTTCAAAAAATTATAAGTTAGTGTAATTAATGAGTTGGACGAGTGAGTAGTATATGAAATGTTAGGTAATGAGATGTAGTATAAGAACAGAAGAAACATATTTATAAAATCCCTCAACGTAATAAATGATGGGGGTAAAAGTGTAAAACGGACCATTTATTAATTTTTTTGAAGCATAAGGAGATATAATCTTGCAATAAGTTATGTTCTTAAAAGATGCTACCCAACATAAGTTATTAGAATTTAAAAAAAAAAATAATAAAAAAAAATAAAGTTGACAAAATCTTAACACTTTCAAAGTTACTTAAAAAATAGAAGCAGTGGAAAAAAAAAGTGTTCCTCTTGTGAAATGTGTGTTTAAGGGTAACTAAAATGATCCCACGTAAAAAAGTATGAAAATATTTTTTTTACATGGTTT